TGTGAAATGACTGATACATCTTCTCTGAGTTCCTTGAGGGGTAGTGTCAATTAGTTTGGACTTGAATGGCTTGATTTAAAGAGAAGGGTTAACCGGAGCCTGAGGGATGTGCTGGTTGATTGGTAAGCAAAGGTGTTTTAAAATTGATTGATTGATTATAAGGTGATGAGGAAAGAAAACTAAAAATAGAGGACAATATGTAGGCCTTTATATACTATATTTCTAGCCAATTGAGTGGTCAAAAAAATATGACAAATGATTCAAATATTACTGAGATATTGGGTGGAAATCCCTGTGAGTGTCATTATCATATGATTTGCCAATTCTTGTTTTAGCTGGTCTTCTGCACACACAAGCATCATTACTAGTCACTGAAATCATTCACCCATTTGGTTTAAGATCATACCAGACCATTGGACCAGTGTTTTCCGCATGCTGAATCTAGTTTAGTTTTAGGTTATACAAAACTGGGTTGAGAGTCATCAATACAACTCTAACTGGGAATCCCTTTGCCTCCTAGACTCATGACATCACTAATTTTGCTCTGAGCCTTTTACATCATGTCTGATATATGATTGATGTTTATGAGAAAAGACAAAAAGGAAAAGAAATCATTGGAAATATATTTAATTTGAGAAATTGTAAAATAGATTTTAAATTGAAAAGAATAAAAAAGGAAAAAATGTATGGTACATCTTATAAGTTCAGTTTACTTAGAATTATGTCTTTTACTCAAGCTTATGTTAGCCAGAAGACAAAGTACATCTGTACTTATGCCCTGGCTGACATCAGCAGTACATAGGAAAGGCTTCAACATGATAGAGGAGTTTTTGTTTCATTATCAGGGAATACATATGTCAAGAGAAGTGCATATGGTATCTCTGTTGTTTGCTTTTTGACAAAGGACTAAAAGCACCATTCCTCGTGTTTTCTGATTTGTGCAAAGGATCAAAGGTATTAGACCTGGGACCAAAATAATTGGGCCCCCTTGTAGTCCAGATCTAAGATTATTAATGATGTTGTGTTGCACTGCAGTAAACCTATTAGACCTTTAAGTCTGATTTAGTTGGCTCCATAGAAACACTCAAAAGGAAAGATATATGTTGCAAATTTCTGGTCCTCCAACAAGATGAATTGGCCCTTGCTGTAGTGACAGCAGTTGAGAAGTAGCTGTAACGTATTGCGATACGATCCTGATAGTTTCAACCTCTGATGTTAAGATTGTGCAGGAAAATCTCATCAAGAGAGACCGCACAGTTGCTGATATGACAATTTTATCTTTCCAAATACATCAATGTAGAAATGTAAACTTGTTCTAACATCAGGATAACCATGGGGTCACCATCCGTGTTTTTTTGACTGCCCACCCTGATAACAGAAACATGATGTAAGGGATCAAATTACACAAAGCTAACCCAACGTAACTATCATCTTAACATACGTAGGTCTTTATGTCTAGGGTCTCATATTTGAAAGGGAGTTGGAAATGTGTTGTTTCACTGTGCTATAGATCTTAATGCTGATACAATTGGCCATCACTATCCCCGCATCATTGTGGTATCATAGAAAAACTCAAATGAGATTTTGTGCATCAAGCTCTGTTCAAGTTGACATCTTGCTAATGTCTTCTACAGCTGATGTAAGAACGATCAGCAGATTTTTCAGAAAATGTGTCGTCGCCGGATTTCATGAAAAGGGCAAAAAATCGAAAATTGGCTTTCGAGATGTAAAACTATACTGTAGTACCCTTTACCCATCTTAAACGTAAGTTTGATTTCCTCTCTCCCTATAATGCCATTACACCCTGCTGTACCATACCGAAAGCCAGTTAACGATTGTGAACTGATTTCCTTGTTTACCGTTTTTGGTTTCCATCCACTTCAATTTCTTGTTGACCTTCTGTCCACTTCTTTCCGTCTCATCAGGAGTCTACAACCTCATCCAAGGATTCTATTGATCCGAGACTCCTTTCACTCGGATCAAACAAACAGTCACATCAATTGCACTCACCGGCTCACTTCATTGTGATTCTTTTTCTTTTTTTCTTTTTTTTTCTGTTTCCTCACTACCGTACTGACATCATTCTTTCTACAGATGCCCATCAACACCTATCCGACCGAGATCAAGTTGGTCGTTGTTTGGATGGTCATGCGTGGCATGCGGTTCCACGATATTGTATTGACCCTTGGTGTCAACGTGTCCCTCACCTCCGTTCGCCGATGGTTCGACTTGTACCAAACTACCCGCGCGGTGATCACAAACCCCGATGACCACATGATTCCGGGCGCTCGCCCCATTTTAGGCCAAGCTCAACACGACTTCATCATTGACTCGCTTCAACATGATCCTACCTTATTTCTAGACGAGCTTCAGGAGAGGATCTCCAACTGGTTTGGATTCATTGTTTTTCTCAAGACTCTTTCGAATGAAGTACGCTTGAAACTTGGATGGACGAGAAAGAAATCTCGCACCGTCCATCCTAATCAATCGGAGGAGGCGCGAGGTGCTTATATTGGCAATATTTTTGGAATTGATCCTTTTTGTCTGGTATTCACCTGTGAGATACAAGATTCTTTTCTTCCTTTGACTGAAATCAGCTGATTTATTGTTATTCTTATTGTTATTCATACAGACGAAACTGCTGTCAATAAACATCATCTTTATCGTGATTACGCACGTGCGCCTTGTGGCGAAAGAACTGTGCGACTAGAGAGGGCAACTCGATCCCAGAGATGGTCTGTTTTACCAGCCATCTCTTTAGGAGGACTTGTAGCCTTGGCTATCCAGCCTGGTGGATACTCAAGAATCGACTTTGAGGCTTACTTAGAAGACCAATTAGTAAGTCATCTTCTTTCTTATTGTTTGGTATTCACAACTGACATATGGATTCATACATTACATAGTTGCCAGCTATGAATCCTTGGCCAGCTAGGAATTCGGTCCTTGTGATGGATAATGCGCCTATCCATCACGGAGGAAATATTGAGGCACTTTGTGAAGCACGTGGAATCCGGGTACTCTATCTTCCAGCATATTCACCTGATTACAACCCTATCGAGTTAGGCTTTTCACCCCTGAAGTCACGTTTGAAAAGAAGCCGAGCCCTTCACCGGGCAGTCAATGTGGCGGGAGAGGAAGTATCAATTTATTTGACGTGTTTGACTTTGTTCACTGAATCACTTTGCACCAAGCTATTCAAAAGTTGTTGATATATTTGAAACTGTTATTTTTCATGGTATCTCCATTTATTCTTGGTATCAATCAGAATTTATCAGTGGTATTCACTAGTTAATTATAGTATTGAAAATATATTTCTATGATCAGATATTATTCCTCTTTGTACACAGATATTGACTGCTATAGCTAACTATTGAGAGTCTAGAAATCCAAATCATTTTTGCAAGTCATGACTTGCTCTTTGCTTAGACTTCCAAATTCTCGTGCTTCTGTGAATAATGATGATGGTTCAAAACTGGCATGAGTTATTTCTCACTAAAGGGCCAAAAAACCAATGAATGCACAATCTTCAAACCTATATAGAGTCATTCAAAAAAATGTAAAGTCATTGAATGACCTTACATCTGCTTTAGGTATTACGACTCTTTGGGTATTCTTTTGATTTGTTCAAGTAGACAGTCTCTCAAATGTCTTTTTGTTTTTCACAACCCATAATAACAACATCAGTTGAAGATTACAGTTCAATCAATGTTTTTACACGCTCAATCAAGGATAATAATATATTTCATAGCTTATCGAACACATAAGAGGAACTAGATTTTCAAACACTACAAGGAAGTATACTCAAGCGACTCACTGAGAAAGGATATCTCTGTTCAAGAACTAACTTTGATAAGAATGTATAGAATGATTCAACCAGGACAATAACACTACATCAAATTGGTTGGAAAAAAACAATGAGTGACCATTTTGAAATAACTATACAACAAGATATAATAATAATCAAACACAACACCAAATAAATTCAGGTTGAGATAAATAAATTCTGAATAAGATGAAAAATATCTGAAGATAATTTGAAATTCTGTTTGTGATAAGCTGGAAATTTAATTGGATTTATAGCAACTGACCAGATTGTGAGCAGGGTTAATTATAATAATAAGCCGATGTATCATTTGCTAATAGGATAAACAATACATATATATTTAATCATACTTCGATAATATTGAGATAGGTGAAGATAATAAAACTAATATACTAAATTAATGATAAGATATCGCCCACATAATGAACTTGAGCCCAAGGATGTGGGCACGGTGGGTTAATATGTAAATTCTAAGATACAGAATAACCAAAAAGTGATCAGTGATCAGTTCCAAGCTTTATTTTTGGGAAGCGGACAAAGTTTCTTACAATTCATGTAACGAGCTTGCGCTTCGGTCAAAAGGTGGTGGGCAATTTGACGGTCAATCCCTTTGGAGGTCAGACTCGCCTCAGTGAGTTGAACACTGGGAATCAGGTCAGTCCAGGAAAGGATGCCGGCCTCTCTAAGAAGAGTTCGAGTTTGTTCATCGTCAAATGCAATGTTGTGCAGTCAGCCAGAAACAGTTCAAATTCGACCGAATGAGACGTGGACGGGCGTTCAAACTCGATACTACTACTGACACTATCGCTTACCCAGTCGCTTTCATAATTGCTTGAAACATAAATAGGTTCATTGATAGAAGTCTTGGGTTCTGGAGCAGCAGCGATTGAAAAAACAATGCCAGTAATTGATTATATCCAAGCAGGAGTACCATGACACCTTGCTTACGTTGTTCTACCTTCAACTTCTTCAAGTCTGGCTTGATGTCAATCATCTCGCTTGGCCCGGAGAGGTCACGTTTGCCACCTATCTTCACCAAGTCAGGCTTGATATCGGGCTGGGAGCTGGAATGGGCAAAAGTGTCGTTTTGGTTGTTCGGAGGATTGTTCTTCAATCCAGATCCACCAGCCTGAGTGTTTAGGTTCGATTGGGTATTTTGATGGAATCCTTGTGATTGTCAAGGCTTCCCTTGCAAACAAAGTTCAACCTGGTGATCCACACCCATGTCAGGGTGGAACCACCGGCTCTCATTGATTTCATACCGGAATTCCGAAGTATTCGGAGGTATTTCCGTGGTTGCAATGTTGGCTGCCTATAATAAGGTGAAGTGGTCAGTTGTGTACATAAAACCAACATAGTGAAGATGGTGAAATGTTCACTTACAACACCGTTTGCCCAAATCCATGCCGCCGGGTAAGTCAATCAATATTGGAAGGTCGGATCCCAAGGCGTAGTCAGTATCTTACCAGGTCCACCTTTGGACTTTTCAAGTGTGTGTTTGCTAAAAATCGCGTTAGCAAAAGTAGCTAACTCTCTCTCTTTCTTCAATTCCTGTGTAGGATCATAGAAAATAGAAAAATTAATAAATACTATATGAAGTTAGGGGATGTGCTCACCTTGGTTTCTTGAACTTCGGTTCCGCCTCTGTTCGTTGTTGCAATCAGCTTCTTAGTCGCGGATGCCTGTTCAATGCAATCATGTTAGAAAGATTTGATGAAAGACGAAAAATCTAAAAACAAAATTGAACAGATCAGACTTGCCTTATCTTTCGCTTTAACTTGTACATTCTCATTTTCAATCAAGATAGTACACATTTTCTTGGTAGACTTCTCAAGAGCTTCGACCAAATTTTGCCATTGATCAAAATTGGTAAGAACTGACTTGGACCGCCCAATGGTGGCTTTCCACTTGAGGTCAGGCGAGAAAGGACTATTGAGAATTACATTTTTCATACCAGCCTCGTACTTTTCACAAGCTCCAGCCACAAGGTCCTTGAACTCATTCAAACTTTTTCCAAACACACAAATTTTTGTTTCGAGGTAGCCAGTGTTGATTGCTTTAGAATCAATCAGATTGAGTTTAGAAGACTTTGGTACCTTCTTACTAGCCCCAACTTTGGGGGTGCTCTGATTCGGAGCGTTGATGTTGACCTCCGTATCGGTATAAATTTTGAATCGGACCTTGAATGTCATCAGGTTATTCTGATCAAAAGCATCACAAGCCGCAGTGCCCACACACAATAAGAGGGCTTGTTTGAGGCAGGTTGATTGTCGCTTGTCTCCGACCCGTTCCTCTGGTTCTTCAAACACTGAAAGTGATCAAGCATTAGTTGAAGAAAGCAAAAAAGGGAAAGATGAAAAGTAGCTCACAACTGTTCATGTAGCCAGTCACGGGAGTCGCAGCCGGAGTGATTGCGGAAGGATTAGACATTTGTGAAACTGTCAAAGAGAAGCATTAATAAGTGCTGAATCCATCAAGAGACGATGAATATAACCAACATGGAAGGGAAGACGTACGACAGACCTGTATCGGGTAAAACTGAGGAGAAAAGCAGATTGAAACAGAAGGCGTATAATAGATTTGCGACAGGTAAAACAGAGGAGAAAAGGAAATTATTGATACGGTAGATAATATATGGATTGTGAAATTTGATTTGTTGAATAAGATGTGAATGGTGAATAACGATTCGGTGGGAATAAGTACGAAAGAAGGGGACGAGTTGATAAAGGAGGTAGGTGAAGGATATAACAATTGAAAGTAGGAGAAATACGACACATTATCAGTGAATGATGTCATTGAGAGAACTCGTTGGAGAAGGCTCTTTCCGGCCATTAGAAATTAGAATGGAAGAGGAAGACGAATAGCCGGAAGACAGAGAGAAGGGAGAGAGAAGGGAGAGATATGTATGAGGATCAGAGGAGGAAGGGCCAAACTTTTTGTTGAATCCAAGAGATGGACAATACAGTTAGGGCCCGTTCGGTCCCGCTGATCAGATACTATCTGATGAAATTTCACACCAAAAGTGTTACATACTGTCAGATAGCATCTTGGTCCAATCTCGACCAAAAAGTGAAAACCAGATCGATGTTCGGTTCCAGTATTTGGGGTCAATATCTGATCAACAAGATCAAGATATTTGACCAGATAGAGATAGAGCCTTGAGGCTGTATCTCGGCCCTCTATCTCTATCTGCCCCTCCCTCATCGTTGTTGATCATCCACTTCTCTCTCCACATCTCATTATCAACACATACCCTTTTCATGTCGCCTCTTGATAGCTTTCAATCCTTTGCTCAGCTTTGTCATGACCTGGCGACTTATTCAACCATTTCTCTCCTTGTTTTTTCTTTTTTGTTTCTTTTGTCTCTTTTTCTTTTCTTTTCTTTATTTGTTTTGTTCGTTTCCGTTTGTTTTGTTTGTTTCCGCTTTTTTCCTCTTGTTTTCCTATTCTTTTTTTCTTTATTCATGTTCTTGATACCCCTCTATTCCACAGCCTAGATCATGTATGTGTCTCCAAACAAACAATTAATTGATATTATTACTTGTGTTATTATCACACTCGTTGCACGAGTTCCCTACGATGAGGTTTTGTTGAAGCGAGAGAACGATGAAGGTCATGGATGACCATTTTAGAGGTTTGGATGAGATAGAGAGCAAAGATGCAGCTTGGAGATTGTTGTTACCGAACAGCAATATGATCTTGAAGGGGTCAACAGACACCTGTTGACCTTTTTCAGATTGCTGTTCGGTAGTTTTCATCCCTGAGATACCAAAATCTCGATGTGCCCCTCGAGATAGGGGCAAATCGAAATTTGGCTTTCAGGTCAGATAATTATGGCGTTCAAACATGCGCGAGAAATTTGCAAGTTGTGAGAAAGTTCTGTGCAAGTTCTTTTAAACATCTTGCATAGAACTTCCACAAAACTTGCAGACTTAAGAAAGTTATGTGTGAACCTAGGCTTCCCCGCTTTGAGGACTCAGTTTGCCCTTGATGAGATACATACAGCAGGGGGTTGTGAAAAAATTAATTAAGCAAGATCCGTGCAAGATTTCTTGCACGGATCTTGCACGGATCTTGCACATCGGTTTTGCAAATTTCTTGCACATGTTTGAACACCATAAATATCTGAAAAGGGACCGAACGGGCCCTTAACTCTGAAAGTCAAAAACAATCAAGTTTTTGACTTCCAGAGTTAAATCCGCTGACGACACATTTTCTGAAAAATCTGCCGATAGTTTTTACAACGGCTGTAGCAAACCTAGGAGACTGGTAGATAGGGTGTAGTCGGGTGCGTTCAGAAACACTTTAAAAGAAAGCTTACTTGTGACAGATTCTTCACTTTTCAAGAAATTAAACTGATAATGACTACGATTTTTCTAAAGCAACTTCGCCTTCAGTACGATGCACGTGTTCTAGTGGTTCTCTACCATGTTTTGTTCACTATGATACTTCATTTCTTTGGTATGTAGGAGGGCCTCATTGAAAGATCATTCTATACTTCGGAGATAACGAGATAGGCAGTGAAAATTACTTGGATGAATGGTTTCAATCCTCAATGTTAACTTTAAGGTTGACAAGATAAGTCTCATTGAGAAGGGTTACCGATATGAAAATTAAAAACTTTATTCAATATCATTTTATAAATCAAAACTTGCTTTAAGACTATGATAAAGAAAATTGAGATTTGCGGCATTTTATGAATTCGGATCGGAAGCTTCCGAGAATGATTGAGTGATTGATACCATTCAAGTAAGTCTCAGATGGATTCAGCTGAGGTATTAATCGTAAAGGGTGTTTTGAAGAATATAAAAGTGCAAGGTGGATAAGAATCAGGTGTCTTCTAGCATCACCATCATCTCTTGGTGATTTGACAATCTTAGAGAATTTCTTCAACCATCAATCGTAGAAGTTAGTCTTTTTTTGTTTAATTTGAAAATCATTCATCAGCTTCTAGCAAGATAATTTTTCTTCTTCTCGAACTTGAGATCATTCCTGAATCTAGATCATTATACGACTAATTCTAAGTGGTTTAAATTATTCCTAGAACCCACACTAATTAAAACGATTTCTTTCTTTAATTGATAGATATAGATTTTAAACCTTCATATATTTTTGTGAGCTCGATTTAAATCTTCTTTTTAAATTTCCCTTTTCTTAGTATTTTTTATGAAGGTCAGATACTAAACTTTGACATTTTCTCACAGGAAGAACAAGGACCCCTTCAACCGAACTCAAATAACATCAAAAAACAATCCACTCAAAGAATTTAACTGCTTTTCTGGTAAGTTATGAAACTCTCATTGAATTCAATCTTCAACCCACATAACCTCAAACTTGCAAACCTAATGACTGTAGCTGTTCCTATGAATCTTTCTTAAATTCAGAAGGATGTTTTCACCAAACAAATCAGGCTCACTGAACTCCATCATAATTTTGACCCTCACGACTTTAATATGTACATTTCTCCAAGAAGCCGTGTCAGAAATGAATCCAAACACTTGGAGAATGGCAGAAACTGAATGGAAAGATATATCTGGATCAGACCTATGTGATCGTTGTGATGAAGTGAAAAATATAAAAAACAAAAAAGTCAAATGTGGTGCTGAGATCCAATGCGCTTGTGGTTTGGTAAGTAAAGGAGATTGTGAAACGCAATTGAACTTAGAGGGATATTATTGTAAAACTCCTAATTGTCGTGGTAGTTATCTTGATTACTGTGATAAGGTAGAACATCGTTTGGTTTGCGGTGTTGTCCATCCTGATCAACCAAACCTCCATCAACCACCTCAAGATCCTTATCCTTCTGATTATATGCTTCCAATGGTAGACTCTGATTGGTAGATCCACCCTTCCATACTTCAGCTGTAGACAAAATCTATGAGATAAGTACGGGCTCAACTTTTATTTCAGTGTTCTTTTTTGGGGTCTTTGTTTCCACGTCTTGTTCTTCGAAATGAAGTTTACAGTCTTTGAGCTCATGGACTGCGCGCCAGTGGATACATACCAGTCAAATAAAATCAAAAGATTCGGTCTTTACTTTATCCTTACCGTACTTTGAAGCAGAGTAAATTGACTTAGATGCTGAGTACATGTGATCAGGATGTAATTGTTAGCAAAGTGAGCCAAGAAAGTTTGCAAGGTGAGGAGATCATTATTATTACATCGACTTAAATCCCTATCCAACCCCCCTTGAAACCTGAAACATGACCCTTCAGATTAATCTCAAGCTACAAAACCAATCTCGTCTAATCTCGAATTCCTTTAAAAAGAAACCCATTTCAACTATGTGTGTGTGTTTCATATTGTTGCAAATTCAAACTTTTACCTCAAAACTATCAAACAAAAAAAACATATATACATACCAAAAAGAATAAAAGAAAATTCACATCTATTATAAATTCTTAATTTTTTTTTGAAAGAAAACCAAACACACAACTTATATCTCATCATACTTTGCGTTTCAATTCAGGGGATATTATTTAACTTTAATCAGTTTGGTGTTATTGTCATTGTTTTTGTTTTGATTGAATTGAATATTATCATCAAAAAAAAGTAACAATCCCAATCCAAAAATCAAAATTCAACAAAACAAAAAAACCTAAACAAAACCTTTAAACGACTTCATTTTATTTTTCTTTCTTTCTCTAAAATCCCATTCCTCCACCCATACCACCCATACCTAAGAAAAAAAACACGGTTAAGCATTTAATCAAAATGAGAAAAAGAAATGAAGATGCAAGACTAACCACCACCCATTCCACCCGGTCCAGCAGCCGATTTCTCTTCAGGAGCATCTACCACACAAGCTTCACTAGTGGTCAACAAACTAGCCACTCCCGCTGCATCATTCAAAGCAGTCTTCACCACTTTCAAAGGATCAATGATCCCACTAGCCACCAAATCTTTATATTCTCCTAAAGCGGCATCATAACCCCAATGAAATTTACTTGATTCACCATAATGTTCCAAAACTTTTCCTACGACTACAGATGATTCTTCTCCTGCGTTTTCAACAATCGTTCGGGTGGGTTTTTGGATGGCTGCTCGGATGATCGAAACTCCTAGTTGTTGATCAAAGTTGGATAGTTTTAAACTTTCGAGTGCTTTACTTGCTTTCAAAAGTGCAGTACCTCCACCTACACATACAAAAAACCATTTCGATTGTTAGATCTTCAATTCAAAGATATCCAATTCAAAAACCCCCCTATACAAAAATGAAATCCTTACCTGGTACGATCCCTTCCTCAACAGCAGCGCGAGTCGCATTCAAAGCATCATCAAATCGATCTTTCTTTTCACCTACTTCCACTTCACTATGACCTCCTACTTTGATGACCGCCACCCCACCACTCAGTTTAGCCAATCGTTCTTGAAGTTTAGTTTTATCATAATCCGAAGTACTAGCATCCATCATAGCCGATCGAATCTGTTCACATCTTTCTGCAATCAAATCTTTAGAACCGAGTCCATTGAGCAAGATCGTATCATCCTTGGTGATCGTCACTGATTCCACTGATCCAAGTAAATCAGGTGTAGCTTTTTCAAGTTTGATATCTAATTCATCATTAAAACAAGTACCACCAGTAAGGATCGCTAGATCACCTAAGATCGATTTTCGATTATCACCAAATCCAGGTGCTTTGACAGCTGCCACTGAAAGTTGACCTCTAAGTTTATTCAAAATACATGCAGCTAATGCTTCACCATCTAAGTCTTCTGCAATGATCAAAAGTGGTCTTCTTTGAGTAGCCGAAGCTTCAAGTGAAGGTAAGATGTCTTGTAAAGCTGAGATTTTCTTTTCGGAAAGTAAGATCAATGGTTTTTCCAATTCAGTTTTTTGAGTCTTAATATCCGTAATGAAATAAGGTGAAATATATCCTCTATCAAATCTCATGCCTTCTGTAATCTCGATTTCATCTTCAATGGTTTTACCTTCTTTAACGGTGATGACTCCTTCTTTTCCTACTTTTTCCATCGCAGTCGAAATTAATTGTCCAATATGACTATCACCATTAGCTGAGATCGTAGCTACTTGTGCAATCTCTTTGGATGTTGTGATTTCTCGTTTGTTTTGATCTAAGAATTTGATCACTTCATCTACTGCTGCTTGAGATCCTCGACGAAGGTCCATAGGGTTACAACCGGCTGCTACGTTCTTGACTCCTTCAGAATAGATTGCTCGAGCTAAAACGGTGGCTGTAGTAGTTCCATCACCAGCGATTTCATTTGTCTTGTTAGCAACATCTTGTACTAGCCTATTTCGCAATCAAACAAGAAACAAGTCATCGTCAAGATCAAACTTTACAAGATGATTGAAAGAATTCTCAATCGAATCAAATCAAACCCTTACCTTGCACCCAAGTTTTCAAACTTATCCTTAAGTGTAATACTCTTAGCCACCGTCACTCCATCTTTAGTAATCTTCGGTCCACCAAAAGGTTGTTCAATAATCACATTTCTACCTTTAGGTCCTAATGTGACTGAAACAGCTTTTGCAAGAATATCGACTCCTGCTAACATAGCTGCTCTTCCTTCATTTGAAAACTATTTGATCAAACCCAAGGAAAAAGAAAAAATCAATTTGGGATCGAATTAAAGAAGAAGAATGAAAAGCTTACTTTGATTTCTTTATGAGCATATCTTTTTTGTTGTGATGTGCTTAAACATGAGGGTGATTGACGAGAGGTAAGGGTTCGAAGAGATGATGAAGCAGTTGAAGAGGAAGCAAGACGAGATCGAAGCATGATGTTACTTTTTTCTTAGTATGAGTATGAAGAGATATCGAATCGAATCGAATGAGGTATATGAGATGATATGGTATGGTATGATGGTATTGGACTCGATGTCCTTTTTTGTTTTTTGGAATGAAATGACCAAAGTGATTCTAGAATTTACTAGTGAAAAACTCAACTTTTTTAAAAAAACTTTGCAAACCAAGAACCATTTTTCTCGAACATTCTCGAACCAATTTCAAAAAAAAATCATCACCTCAACCACTTCAACTTCATATCCATTTCCTCAACTTTACCTGATACTACATTCAAATCGATATCCAGAAGCAAGACAACCTCCACAACAACAAACATGGTAAATCCACTCCAGAACCTAACAACAACAAACCAAGCTCACTAACCAACCCAACCGATTTCTTTTTTTTTGTCACGATCTCTAGACTCTTTCCATCAGATCTATCACTTCACTTCGTCCAACATTAGATCGAGTCTTAGTCCAAAGATTAAAACCCGAAACAAAAACCGCTTCTGGAATCTTCTTACCTTCATCTGTGACTGAAAAATCAACACCTGAAGCTACAGTCTTAGCTGTCGGTCCTGGAAATCGTGATCGGTATGTCCTTGCCCCCCCCACCAAAAAAAATATTCAATCATTCTTATGGTTCTTACTCATGAGCTGTTTGTGACTATTTTTTCTTCTTGGGGTAGGGATGGGAAACTGATACCTATGGAAGTTAAAGAAGGTGATAAAGTTTTGTTACCTAGTTATGGAGGTCAATCTATTAAAGTAGGAGAAGAAGTAAGCAGAACATTCACAATTCTATCAATCTCAACTTTGAACATCTTGTTTTGTTTCTAATGACGAATTTTTGTTTTGAATCAAGGAGTATCATCTCTTTAGGGATTCCGAAATCATGGCTAAATTCACATAAGCTTGAAAATTTTGTTGGATGATCGAATGATCTACTTATGCTTGGAAATACCTTTGTGTGAAAGAGAAAAAAGAGAAAGAGATGTAGATAGTATTACTAGAATGAAGAATGAAAGTCAAGGAGAAAAACGAAAAATGAGAAACCTATTAAAAGGATGAAATCCCTACTCTTCAAACCCGTTTTGTTTAAAAAAACAGATCTTGCTATTTCTTTTGATTTACTTAATCAATTCTATATTCCAATCTCCTGGAATCATATAAATTGATTTAGGATTCCATTTATCTTTCATTTCAAGAAATTCTTCCTTTTACAAAAGATTAGCCACACAACAGATTTCAAGTTTTTCCGGATCCCATGCTCCTTTTTGATAATAAATATCATTCTTACACATAATTTCGACTTCTTCAATAGATTCAGCTCTACACAGTAACCAAGATCCTGTCCCACCCAAAAAAAATCAATCAAGTCAAATTGATGATCTTATCTATATATGTTGAAAGTGTGAAAGAGAAACCCGAATTGACAAACCAATCATTTTGTTTTCACTAGGATTCAAAGCTTTATCTTTTTCAAACATAGCACCAGCATTAACTAAAAACCAATCCAAAGAAAATCAAAAGTCAATTTCAGACAAAGAAACAGAAATTATCAAAAAACACTTAACTAATCCTACCAGTTTTAAGCCCTTCTTTTGCTCCATTGACATGATCAGATCTTAATTCTAACCTTTTAGAATCGGTTTCGAAATCAGGTGCATTCACTAAATAAGTGTAAGTTTGAGTTGAGCTAGATAAAGGTGTTGACCAAGTTAAAGTCTTTAGTGTTGATGTTGACATTTTTGAATAAGTTTGGAAATTGATTTGGTTCTTAAGGAGTCTTGAAGTGATGAGTGTTGTAAATAGTTTCATTGAGGTCTTCAACTACAAGTTCTTTTATTCGAGTGATCCTATCCAGAAGTTTCGAGCCACAAACCCGTAAAGTAAAGTATCATGTCAGTCTGAGCCCCGACCCGGAAAGATCGGGTAAAGGCTTACCCGCACCCCCCGCGCCCGAACCCTACCCCGAACGGAAATGAATGTCCGATCTTGTGCGATGATTGCCCAAGACCTTAACCATTGCTTGGCTCAAGGAAGAACTATCCCCAGCCACAGAATACATAGTGACTTTGTACCTACCCAACATGTTTGTGTGTCTCCCAATGTGTTCAGTTTCAAGAGTCTGACACAATAGAATCAGAGGGAAACAAAGGTGAAAGAAGAGATGAATTCACAAAATTGATACTACAAAATATTGGGAGATGGCATTTGTAAACAGAAGTTCCTAACCTTTGAGTACAATGAAAATAACAGAAGGAAGAATTCATAGAATATTGGAAGGTTGACACATCAAAATCAAAATGAAAACATTAGACTGACTGACCCTCAAAGCAGGCAGTTGATGGTAGAAAACCGCTGGGTGTTGAAGAAACAGGCATTTATGGTCATGTAGGTGTGTCTGGACTCTTACAACCATGTCAATCAGTTTCTGTTCCAAGTCCAAGAGCAGAGACACGGAATATTGTAATAATCATTCAATTTCCCTCAGTGGGAAGGGGAGAATAATCAAGAGTGAAGTTTGAAATAAAAGGATCCATAACTGCACACCTGAGCCATAACACACACTACATAGGTGAAGCAGGCTGAGTTAATATTTTCTGCCATGTACATACAGGCCTGCTCAGCCAACGGTGGCACGGCTAAGCTAAGTTAGCGCTTAGCGGTGCATTAGCTTAGCAATTTTTTGTCGCTAAGCTAGCGCTAAATCCTTAGCGCACTCAAGCTAAGCTAATCGAATTTTGATTTTTCCTTTAGCGGGTCTGCGCTAAGCTAAGCCAGGGGCTTAGCTATCAAAAAAATACATGTTTTAAGTGTGATACATCATGTCACTTCTTTGCCATTGACAAAACTTGTCCCAAAAATCCACTACATGGATCATTATAGCTACTCAGGCAAAATTCTTGGGGCCATTTTTCAGTGACAGAAAGAGTGTTACATGAAGTTTAGTTGACAAAATTACACCAAGTCTTTGAGTCAATGTATGTAGTCAATTTTTGGAATGATTTTGTCAAGCGGAAAAAAAGTTACAGCATGTATTACATATGATTCACACATCCAGATGAGCACATAACTGAGCAAACCTGTATGTACATGGTAGCCACCTATCCACTCAGTCTGCTGCACATATGTAGTGTGGGTGTCATGGCTCAGGTGTGCAGTGATAGATTTTGGATCCCACTATTTAGAGCCCTCGGAGCAGTATCCGGCGCCCCCTCTCGGGTCGGACACCAGGCTACAAACAATTTAGCTGCCCCTTTTTTCAAACAGGGCTCCTTGTTTGAAAAAATCGGGCTTCCTCCTCAAATAAAATTGCCCCCTACTCATCCTCCAATGTCCATTGACCTCGCCGTTTTGTTTTGTACACGCTACGTATATGTACAGTCCAGGTATAAGGATAGAAGCTAAGAAACTATGTCGAGGGGAGAGCAGAGTTTCTCAGTTCACTATAGCGTCCGATGAGCCACTATTGCACTTGAGTACACAAGACCATGGCATATATGTATCCTAAACTCAAGGAAGGTATACATAGATTTAGGGGGTTCATACAACATAAGGAAGAATTGAGGGAGAGATACAACATCAGATATAGGAATCAGAACTAGAAAGCTAAAAGAGCTAGAAAGTTGAAACGAACAAGTAGGACAGGAGAGCTACAAAAACAAACACAAAAGGCAACACAAGTATAGAGTAGAGTGTACAACATAAGAGACAGACTAGTGACTGTGAGGCCACAAATTCAATTGTGCTCGATACTTGCACTTGACATCGTCTCCCATTCCTATCTAACCTACTCTTTGTGCCCCGTTGCTTGTTAGCTCTTCGTCTATGATCTCGCTCATTGCACCTTGAAGGTTTAGAAATGCGTAAAAAACAGCAAATCAGTTTTAAAGCCTCTCAATTCAAGTGGAATGAAATGCGGATGATTTGAGCAGTTTTTTTGTACAGAGCAAGACCCAGTCTCACAAGCAATAAAGGGGCTGATAACGCTACCATATGAGCATGACGAAAGGCAATTGATGAGTGATGTTCATTGAATAGTCCTTCATGGTATACTACATACGCACAGGAAGTAAAGATGAAGATATCTGTCAGCTTCAGCGATACATGGGAGGATATGGGAGGTGAGGGTTAGATCCCGAAGAGCAGCCACTGGAAGGTGGTCCAATGTCACATTGTATTTCAGTACTCGGAAGCTTGTGACTTTTTCCGAAAGGTTCCAACTAGCCGTACGTTCCGATTGAAGTATGCTTCTTCCCGTAGCTCTTTGATTGGGTTGTAGAGCTCTTTGATTTTGTTGTTGAATCCATTCATCATCTTGGTCATGATTTGAGTTAGACCATTTGATTGAGCTTCCTAATGATAGGGACCTTAGTTCGCTCATCATAGAATCTGTTTCATTCAACGTAGGATGGTCCAATTTTTTGGAGGGGGAGTTCGGATTGCGTTCACCGGTATCCGACGGTTGTTAATGAGGCATAGAGAAGGGGATTTGATGATTAAATGAAGAATGAGGTGAAATATGGGTGATTGAGCGATTGGGTGATATTTTGAGCTTCAGAGACGGAAGTTGCTATTATGGGTATGTGTCCCTTACTTGAGGAGCCAATGTCTGTGCAGTAATGGGGCCGGTCCGGGCGCGAAAGAACTTGGGCGCCCTTTTATTTGTTTTAATAAAGTTTTGTTGCCCCATCAAGGATGGAAGGGCACCAAACAGGTCAATTAAGAATTAATCAGGGGCTCTATTTGCAAGTTTGCGCCCTCTTAGAGAGCCCTTGAGGAGCCCCCAAGGTCCGACTGTGCGAAATATAGGCTGAAAATAGTCGGGTGTCAGCGGGTCACACGGGTTTTGGTGAAAACCCGGGGGGCTCCGGATATCAGCCGAGGGGGCGCTAAATAGTGGGATCCTAGATTTTTAATGACAAATTGTGCTCCTAATCATTTCCCCCTTCCCACTTAGGGAAGTTGAATAATGTTCACAGTGAATTGGCCTTGATTGACACACAACCTAGCCAGTGGAATGTTGGGCAAATACTGTGAAGGATTTGTCCTTGAAGATTGAAAGTGACAAGTTCTTGCTGATGACCACCCCAACAAGAAGTGTGCTGAGCTCCTTTTTGCAAAGATCCTCCATGATAGGGACTTCTTCAGGAGGAATGCTCCACGGAGAGTGATTCATCAATTGACAAATATGGCAACACATTTTCTTGCAATCCCAACAACTAGCTGTCCATTGGAGGGGGTTTCAACAACACCAAAAGAATTATGGGGCCTCAGTGTACTAGTTTTTTGTGCTTACATGTTGAGGCTATTCTATGTGTCAAAGATTGAAATCAGGTGTTTGGTCCTTTGAAACTGACTAGCCATGATGGTTTGGAGGATAGTGATTAGGTTGTCCCTTTTTTCATTATCTGGTTATCCTTTTTAATATCTATTATTTACAATTATATGAATACACACCAGCCTAAGCCAATGAGATGAGAACAGAAACAAGGTCAAGTCATAGTCTCTTGTGATTTGTAAAATACAACAGCAAAACACTCCAATGGGTGTAAAATTTTGGATGAACTTGAGACTCCATATCTATATACGGAGTTGATGCAATGACAACTGTGTCAAAAACTCGAAGTTTAAAAATCAAAGTGACCATCTGATATGGACTGAAAAGGCGCGACGGGGAGAATTCATGTGATTGGTGGACGCCATTCACGACAATTGTTATCGATAGTTTCCAAGTATCGCAATTTGATAGCCAATGCCCTTGCACGTTCGAGTGTATCAATGTCAAGTTGACTATCGGGATTCCATAATTGCTCGAGCTCTAAGACTGTTTCCTGTATCATTTCTAACAACCCGGTTACTTCAAAATCAGCTTACTTGATTGAACTCTATATGAGATCAGCTTGCGTACCTTTGTTGGCCCTTCGAATTTCCATCACTTCTACCTCAGTCTCGGCTTCTTCCAGCTGCTCGTGAGCTTCCATCAATGTCATCAAGAGATTTGGATCCACTGAATTATTCCCACTCTCATCAGGCATTGAAAGCCTTCCATCTAGCTCAAGCTTCAGTCGCCGAGTCAAGATGCAAGGATAAGTGGTATGAGTCCGACGTGCCAGAAAACATAAAGCATTCAGAAGAACAAAAGAAAACACGCACCATATAAGCCGCTCGCTTTACATCATCCTCCAGGGTCGCTCGGGCTTGGTTGACAAGAATACTCCACTGCGAAGCCAACTCAGCCTGAGAGATCCGATTGAGACCTGATCGATCGGTTTGAGCGAGAGTTGTGTTTTGGCGACCAGCAATGAGATCAGGATGTACCAATTGTTGCCATCGATGGTATTGAAGACGAAGTGCACTTCGATCGATTCGGTAACCTTTTGGTAGACCAAACAGGGAAAAGTGCGAGCCAGCAACTGTGAGAGGAAGAAAGCTGTCACAGCGGTGGCAGATGGACTTAGAAGTTGATCGATCGATTGACGATGGTTCCGGATTAGCTCCACATTCTGGACATCGAACATCAACAGTGATGTTGGGCTGGTTTGTGAAGTGCCTGAGATGAGAGTGGGTTGCGAGTGGCCAGGCGGGCGGTATCGGTTTAAGGTTGGGACGAGTCTCGAAAGGCGCTAGCACTGCAATGAAGGAACAACGGAGACGGAGGCGAGGATGAAGGCGAGGGCGGCATGTCAAAAGTTGTTTGATAGTCATTCTTCGATGGTGGCCCTGATCATCAGGCAGAATCACCGCCACCCCTTTCTGTAATCCGTGATTTCGGTTTTGTAATTTGTGATGTCACAGTTGTTGGTTTTATATGCACTCGGTCTTCCTTCAACTGTTTACATAGTTTCACGTCCTCAAGCTTCATCATCATCAAGTGAATCAGATGGGAATTCAACTTACAATGCTCCATCATGATCTCAACATCAATCTCAACCATTTTATCATCCTGGTCCAAACTTGATGAGTTCGACCTCAACCTCAACATCCTTATCCCTATGGTTCACATCCCTTCTCTAGGCACACCACAAACATTCAACCTGGAAAATCACCTGAAACTGTCAGTCATTCCAACTCGACCCAATCCTATCCCGACGGGTCACGATCGATCATTCTCACTCACTAGTCGACCTACCACTTCAGCTTCAATACTAGCTCTCATCTGGCAGATATCTGATCGTTTGCCCTGCTTTACAAGGTAAAGAAGCAGGAGCCTTTGACTCTCGAACAGTCCTATCAGAACGTACCAAAGAAGGTTTAACCTATCCTGTTTGTTTTGATTGTCGAGCAGCAGTTGATAAAATTGCTTAAATCATTAAATCCTGAATTATTTGATGTGGGTTGGGATCAATTAAAAGAAATCTAAATCAACTTGAAAATATATCTTCTTTAGATTGGATTTATGATTCTAATATTGATACAATTAAAGTAAAGATTTTGGAAGAGGAAATGGTGGAGTACATCCAAAGTTCAAAGATACTTCATTTGCCACTATAATTGATGTATTTTTTGATTCTCAGCCTGTAGATAAATTGGGACATCCATCTTTTGATTGATTCTAAAGATATCTATCAATTTGGAAACTGATTCCTTTGTGAGTTGAGTTTTGTGAGAATCAAGAATATTCGAAGCCATGAGGAAGTTTAGTATTGCAAAAGTTTATATTCCTTGTATGTAGCAAATGAATTGAAAAGCTAGGAATGGTTCTATCTGAAAAAAACTGAGCCATCACCCAGAAACAGTAATTTGATTTCTCATCACAAACAAGCAACACAGCTGATAATAAATCACTACTCATATGAATTGAATTGAAGATGAGAAAGCAGTCCCAGAGCATGGGTGGTTTCAACCCACACATTTTCTAAATTGATGTCATTTTCATGATAACCCAATCTTGATATCAAGTTTGAAACCTGCCATCAAAACCTGCCATCCAAAAATAGGAGCCAACACCTGCTCGAGTTCTTCTGGATCATGGTATCTGGTGGCAATAAGGCTGCCAATGACTTCTCTTGGAACAGGATTCAACCTCTGGGTGCCATCATAGTTGAAGCAAGAGTAGTAGGATGTTTCAGGTGAAACACCAGTGGGAAGTTGGGACTTGTAGTTCTTTGTGTTTGATATGTGTTTTTGCGCTTTACAAAAGACACCAGTGAAAAAAGAGTACATTGCAGGTTGAACTAGAAACACCCCCAAATGGAGAAATAAGGCCCTAAGATAAAATCCTGTCAATTCTGGTTGTTCAATGCCAACTAAACAAGATTACAAACAACAGAATTTTATTTAAAAGATCATATACCCCTTCACATATCTTTGCTTTGATCTTGTCCCGCAGCACTGTGCTTTTAGCACACATGAATTGAGACCACAGTGACTCTACTTTCTGGTCTGCTGTGAGGTGGCAAAAAAATGATGCTTGTGTGCTTCGTCAAGTGGCTCACCGCAGGAGTAGTGATGGATGAGGGTTTGGAAAAGATCCATGTCAACTGTTTCACTACCATGGTCAGTCAATGTCCTTTCTGGGAATCCTCCTGAGTCTCAAATAATCTCTGAGTATGTCAAGCCAATTCTACAGGGATCATTGTTGCTTGTTGATATATGTATGCTGAGGACTGTGCGGGACCAAGCATCAATGAAACCGTAGATAGTAATACCAATAGGCTCAAGTCTATCATGCCCACCACTTTCCAACAGATGATTGAATTTGGGCCCTAGTACATAGAAAAGGCATCTTTTGAGCTTCCCCATAGTCTTTTAGGCTACTCCAATTAGACCAATGATTTTAACTATCTGCCAGACTGTCTCCCAATGAATACACAGGGTATCATCTACAACAAGATGGTGTTGCATAGTTTCTTAACCTGTATTTTGATCCTTCCCTTCTACAATGTGCTCAAGAAGAATAGCAACCAGGTCAGCTGGTGTCACTCAACCTTCTGGGATGTCATCTCTGCACCAGTTGAGACCCATTGCCTTTGACATTTGATTGATATTTCACATGTGGATGGGATTGTCATATGTGTTATTGATTCCCTGTAGAGCAATGTGTTAAGTGTCACCAAGAATATAATGATTTCTTAAGATCCCATAGGCAACATCATTTTGAGCCACAATCATTGATGGTGAGTTTTTTAAGTTGTGCTGGGCTAGGTAGTTCTGGACACTTCTCTTAGGCAATGGGAGACCAATGTTATGAGGGGAATCTACCATTGTATCCTATGACATTCTCTGCTGACAATATTTAGGCGGAAGACATTTGAGGAGCTGTTTTTGGAGTGGTGTGAGGATGTGAGACCTTTTGATTTCATATTCATATTGATCCATAATATTGAGATTATCATGGTATTGAGAATATTGCAGTATTTAGGATATTGAGTGTCAGAAAAGGTAGGTATAAACAACTTCAAATAGTAAATCCTTGACGGAGATAAAGAAAGATAGATAGATGTGGTTGCTCTTAACAGATCAAGTGAGTTCTTCAACAATTCCTATTGTGTACTGTATTTTTTAGGGTCACAAGTTTTTAGTTAAAAGAGTTCTAGATAAAGTGTCAAGTCCAAGTAAATTCTGAATAAAAAGAGACTGTGTTATGTGGTTGCTCTTGGCTGGGTGATGGGTTTATTATGAATCAGGAGAGTTCTGTATTTATACTAAAAGTGTGGAAGTAAAATAAGCTGGATCTCAGGAGGGATCCTGGTCCCTATTGCAACCACTAGCAGCTTCTTGGGTAGACAGCAAGCTAGCCCTTGCATGTGCATGTATTTAAACATGTGGGTTTTCTTTGTGTCCCCCCTAACTAACACCCAAAAGTCCGGATTAGACAGTAGCCGCCGTATCCGGGTAGTGTCTGCTTGTTGACGAGCAAACCCTACACAGACACTGTGAGTCTGATTTGATCCAGCACTATTTAGAATTGAACGGTTTAAATGTTTCAAATTACCAAACATTTTTAGCTTGTAAATAAAAATGAACTTGCTATTAAACATTGTCAGCAAGAACAAAAACTGTTGGCATTACTTCCCATTGTAAATCAAAGGTGATTCTTATATATCATCAATAGATTAGTATTGATAATCAATATGTGCTTTGAATCAATCATCAATATACATTTATTATTGATTATCATCATTGTAGTCTGTATTGGTCTTTCAGATACAGATTGCAAATTTGTACAAATCACAAATCACAAATCACAAACCTCAAAACACAAAATCATGGATCAGAGAAAGGTTTGGCGGTGATTTTGCCCCAGGGCCACCATAATGGTCAGGTCTTACCATGAAATCTGTGATTTTTTCAGGTTCCCAAGGGCATGGCGGCACCTGTATAGTTCCAGAGACATCATGGATGACAGATGGGTAGAAGACCTGCTACCACCCCCCAAGTGGTACTGTGGTCAGAGGAAAGACTTCCAAGCATAATGCAAACAAATTTGAAATCTTCAATACCACTGCCAGAAATCTTTCATCCCAATAGTCATAAATACAACTGACAATATCTAATGCATGATAGAGTCTCTTGCTAGGCTCATTTGGCCAATTTGAGATTTTCCACTCCCCAGCATTTACACAGCTGCAGTTTTGTCAACTTCTGGTAAAAAAGGTGATATAGACTATGACCTGTCAAACAGCCTTTGTACAGGCACCCAATGGGGTGTTATTTGGTATGGTCTGGTGGTTTTTCTCTGATCATTGGCTCAACTTCATTCAGTGTTTGAGTAAAGCTTACTTAACCAGATGGTCTGGGGAAAACTTGGGCTATTTACAGCGACAGCAGACTGCACAGGACTTTTTTAAGCTTAAAAATGGTTGAAGATTGGTGACGACGGGACTAGGAATAAATCCTGTCCATGTCACAGACTGGAAAGCCCTCCGCGTGATTAGACACTTCTGAATCACGCGGACTCTGAGTGGATGACGTGAGCTGTCCAACCGTCCTCCCGGTGCTGCCCTGAATAAGACTTCCAGGCACGGATAGGACAAGCTGGGTAAAAGGATTACCCCAGCTCGATGAGTGACCAGCTCCCACCTTGCTCACTCATCGTTTCTCTCTCTCACGTTCAAGCCTACCTTCATCTTCCCTCAGAGTGGGCTTTCCTCGGGCAAAGACCTTTTTCGAATCGAAATTCACGATGAGAACTAGCAGAAGAAGACAAAACTTAGCACCAGAATTCTCACCGGAACCGACCCCGCCACCTTCAGAAGATGAAAGAAGTTTTGAAATTGAAACCGAGGAAGAAGAACAAGCGAGAATCGATAGAGAGGATGCGTTAGAAGCAATTAGACTCAATAAATCAAACAAAAGCAAAAAGAAGAAACAAGATATAAATATAACAAATGACGATATTAACTTAGAAGAAATGGAAGATATCAACTTCAACAAGAATGAAGATGAACAATTAATATTCGAAGATGAGAAAGACAGCGATTCAGATTCTTCGATTGAATATGTAGAAGATAACAAAGAAAGTGAGACACGTCATTCCAATTCCTATTTCACAATAATCCTTCATCGATATAATCTTCCATCGAATTCAAGAATCATAAAACACTGTATACCTTTGCTCTTCTAAAAGAATGCGAGCTGTCGTAAATTCCTTGCTCTTTATATTCCTTGCTCTTCTACACGTAGAATTTGAGCTGCAGTCCAACTATCAAATATCCAGTGCTCTTCTGATTACAGAATGCGAGCTATTATCCACTGCTCTTCGATGATCGAATGCGAGCTTTTTTTCATCATAAATCCACTGCTCTTCTTATAGAATGCGAGCTACATTACAAAATCTTCTCCCGAATAAATTTGAAATACGAATTTCTTTGTTGAAACCTCTAATAGTATCATCAACTGATATTGCTTTGAATAGATATTTCCTTAGATATCGCGAAGATGACATTGGCTATGGGAAACACGAAGATAGTAGAAAAGTTCCTGAAATCATTAGAATCAGAAAAAGTTAAAGCTAAAGGCGCATCAAAAGATAACATAGATACAGTCTACAAAAGTAGCGGAAAAGTTTTGACTTCAGGTCTAAGAGGTTTTAGTACTTATTGGAATGATCATTTGACTAAACTAGATCTTAACTTCAAACTCACCATCTTTAACGACAGGTGGATTGAGTTAGATCATATGGTAGAAGGAAGTAACACTACGAAGAAGAAAGATAAACCGACTGGCTTAGTTCCTAAAAGTGAATGGTGGATGTCTTATGCAGACTGGACGAGAGCTAAGTCCTTGATGTTGAAATACTTGAGACAAACGTACTTTCACATAAAGTTCGCAAATGAGTAAATGAATAATTTGTCTTCGATTCAAATAGGGTAGAACTGATGAAGATGTATCTCCTTAAAGCTTAGAGAAACACTTCGATTACGTTGAAGATCTTGCGTTAAGGCACGGTTGGTTGACGGCGTTCAGATACGATATTTTAGTAAGAACGGATGTTATGTGCAACAGAGTGGATGGAGCCCCAGGCGATCCGAAGATACAAAGGAGTTCCTTCCTAGAAGAAGCAAAGGCTCGAACAGATTTGTTACGAGATGGTAGAATAATTCTTTTAGACAATCGTAAGGCCTTTGGAAAGTCCTTTGTCAGAAAGTCGTATAGATTTACTGACGATTTGATTTGTATATACAGCTTACGCGAAAGGTAACATACGAGAAAGATTTAACCCGATAACGGGAAGACAATATCCAGAAGGAACGAACCATGATTGTGTAGAGAACGTAGTAGATGAAAATGAAGGAAACTATAGAAGTAATAATAGTTATTCGAATACATCTTATCATGGAAACAACTTTCTTAAACCACCACAATTTCAAAGAGGGGAATCTTTCCCTCAAGTACAAAGAAGAGATTCATTTAGGAAGAATGAAAACTACCAGCAAAACTTTCAAAATAATCGTAGAAATAATAGAGGTAGAAATTTCAACAGAGAAAAATCACCTACACCATATCAAAGAAATGATACGAGAGAGAAAACTGCAACAGCAAATAAGGGTAAACAAGTTGATAGATCTCAAATTTATAGAGATGAAGAACCGAGACAGTCAACCTCAAAAGAAAAGCAATCGTGAGCAAAATGAGTCATTTGGTCCTTTCCTTTTATTGTCCGCATTGTTGTACAAGAATTCGTTCATAGATTTTGTAAAGTTTTTGTAATTCCTTATGATTAATTAAATTTAATTTGATGATTGAAATATAATTTGGATTCTTTCGTTATAGCACCACATTACAAATTGAAGTGCCAATAGATAAGCGTTATTATAGCAATAAATCGCAATGGCCTGCGCCAGTGAAATGTAACATGAACATCGAAGTCTGGGATAAGGAACTTAGGAAGTTTGGTTTGATAGGAAAGTACGGCTACTTGTTAGAAGGCTTCAAAGAAGGCTTTCACCAAGGCATTCCGAAACACAACATCAACGATTGGGACTTCTATTGCCCACCAAACCATAACTCGGCACAAAACGCAAGAAAGAAAATTGAAGACAATATTCTGAAAGAAGTGACGGCAGGCAGGATGTGCGGTCCCTTTTCGAAAGAAGAAGTTAATGAAAAATTAGGATTCTTTAGGACAAATCCTTTAGGTGCAGTTGAAAATGGTGACGGCACCTTTCGTCCAATACACGATATGTCTTACCCCCGGTTCAACACTGACATTCCGTCAGTAAACTCTTTCGTAAATAAAGAGGAGTTTGAAACAACTTGGGATGACTTCAAACTCATAGCATTATTTATTAGACGGCTGAAAGAAGATGTGCTCATGGGAATATTTGATTGGGAGGGGGCGTATAGACAAATCCCGACACACCCCTCTCAATGGCCTTACTTGGCGATAATGGACTTCGAAAACAGGGTGTTTATAGACTTAATGATTGCATTCGGTGGCGTAGCGGGATGCGGCTCTTTCGGCGGTCCTGCAGATGGCTGGAAAGAGCTAATGAAGGCGGCCTTCAAGTTACTCGAAGCCTTCAGATGGGTGGATGATAACTTGTTGATCAAATTAAGGTCAGACAAGACAACCATGGTTGAAATAGTGAAGGCTAGTGAAGCACTAGGTGTAAAGACCAATGTAATGAAGTACTCCGAGTTTGGAGAAGAGCAAAAGTTTATTGGCTTTATATGGAATTGCGTGTTGAAAACAGTTTGATTACCTGACAAGAAACTTATAAAACGTAGAGCTGAAATAGATCACTTTCTCTCGAAAACAACGATAACAAAGAAAGAGATGCAAAGGTTTAATGAAAAGCTGAGTCATCTAACCTTGATCCTACCTCAACTGAAATGCTACCTCGTGGAAGGTTTTAGCTTCGTAGCGGCCTGGAAATCTCCAGGAAGAAGAACGATCCCAGAGGACGTGAGAGAAGACGTGGCCTATTGGAAGAGCTACCTGGAAAACTTAGACCCAACAAAAATAGTGCCCGACCACATCGTTAAGAACGTAGGATGGGTCGGAGACGCCTCAACTGATTTCGGTATTGGCGTCATAGTAGGGAAGGCCTGGTCACAGTTTAAATGGACACCAGGTTGGGATACACCTTCAGACCGTCCCAGAAGGACGATCGCCTGGGCCGAGACGGTAGCGGTTCGGCTTGGTATCTTGATGCTGAAGGAATTGCGACTAGAAACTGGCCTGGCCGGTTTCCGTTTCTCTTGCCTGACTGATAACACCACAACCGAGGGTGCAGCTAGAAACAGAAAGTCTCGCGACTTTTGGGTCAATAGGGAATGGCGAATCGTTCAGGACTTACTAGTCCAACTGGATTGCGATATAAACTTGGTAAGGGTAACCTCTGCGGACAACGAAGCCGATAAGTTATCACGAGGCCTCCGCCCTTCAAAAGGACAAAACAATCTTGTAACAGTCCCCATCCCTGCAGACCTGAAGCCTCTATTGTCACAAGTTTTCTACACGCCTCATTCAACCATCAACGGGCCATGACTTCAGCTCAACTCACCCTACAAAGATCAAGCTTAAATTCGACTCGACCGCTAAACGAAGCGGGGGAGTTAATGCTCAGCCAAGGGTGGGCAGCTTTGACGATTCGCCAGTATGCAGCAGCCGTGAACAAGTACTTCTTGTTCATGGGTGATGCAACTAGCCCCTTTCCTGCTAAATCGGACAACATATACAAATTCATCATCTGGTGCAGCGATCAATCAAACTCCACCTCAGTTATCAGCGAGACAATCAAATGTTACCTAACAGGCCTTAGGATGTGGCATTGCCTCCATGACGTGCAATTCCCTGAATTGAATCCGGACCGATTACGGATTCTGTTGAAGGCCACAAAGAATTGCGACCTGCTCCCATCCAAACGACGACGTGACGGATTAACTTTGATGGATCTCGAATACCTCATACAAAAACTACCAGGCAACAACCTTCCTAACGTCACGTTGCGGGCGATACTGCTCGTCGGCTTTTGGGGATTGGCAAGGCTTGGCGAACTTACCTTACACACCGACCACCCATCAGTTTTCATCCGGCGCCGTGATGTAGCTTTCGCAGAAGACTTCTCATCTGCGATAATACGAGTCAGATTGGCGAAGACTTCAGCTCCTGGCGAAGTACAACTCTTACACTTGAATCAGCAGCCTAACTGCTTGGATCCTATAGAAGCGCTGCGTCGCCTCTTGGCCGCGTCAACTGGCACCACTGATGACCCCTTATTTCGCGGTATCTTCTCCACCGAACCGATGAGACGCTCCTCGGTGCTGGCAGTACTTTGTCACCACCAACCACCATCACGGGTATGGTCTGGTCACAGCCTTCGCATAGGCGGCGCGTCGCTTCGAGCTAATTTAGGTTGTTCACTTCGTTCGCTAAGACGCGCTGGGCGCTGGAAATCGTCGGCCTACAAGTTGTACGTAAGGCGTTATTCACGGAAAACTTTCATTGCGACCAATAGATTAGTTCATCGGTTGCGTCGATAGGTTGCGCTACAGTAGTGTTTTTACGTTGTACTGGCCCCTTGACTTCCTATAGCAATACAGCACAACATGCGGTGGCACCTTCTAGGCTTTGAGCGGATTGAAACCACTCCCCCAGGGAGACTTCCCTCTACGAGTACGGGCTTCGAGACCCTTCGCAGGGCCTCGGCTCTTCAAGCCTTCACTCCCTGTGAGTGGGTTCGAAGGGTCTCTTGCCCGTACCGTAGTGACTTCTTCCTCTGACACACTTCGTGAGTTCTTTCTGAGTTCTCACGGTGTCGCGAGGGAGCTCTAGGTTTCTCCCAAAGCTCGCCATCCTCACTCTTGAACTTTTCAAGAGCAAGGATGGCTACCGCATCTATCTTCCTAGAGATAGTCCAGTAAGTCCAGATCCCGGCATCTAGGACTTGCTCCTCCCTCTCTCCACCTTCTTCCTTGGAAGGAGGAAAGGCATGGATTGGGTATGCCATTGGGAATGGATAATGCTCCACAGTATCTGAAGATATCCATCATCTTCAGTGAGGATTGATATGTAGATGTTGAATGAACGACTATGACTTCATATGGGGTCATATGGGGCTCATACAATACGGATGTGGCCATTGCTGGGATTTCCATTACAGAAAGGAGTCAGGTCCAATTTGGTTCTGCATCAAAAGGTGGAGATTGATTAGTAGTACTGGACACTTTTCACTGTGTTACATGCGTGGCAAGCTCACCGCTCTCGACCCCCGTGAGGCTCTTGGATTTCATTAATCTCCTTTTACTCTTGATGTGCACAGACAGCCTTGTGACACAGCAACTTCCGAGTGATGTGGTTATCGCAGCTGCGCGTGCATCTGGATGATTTGTCCTGTAGGGTATAGCGAAATTTAGAGAAAGGATTTCCTGAAAAAAACAACTGATAGCTGTGCAGGTCCGTCTAAAAAAATCATCACCATCAAACTTCCCCTTGGCTACGGTAAAGAGTAGCCAAACTTTTATCCCCACATATCAATTTATAGATCTGATGTATATGGAAAAGCGGACGACCCGGTCATCACCTACTCCCAGGCGCCGAAACTTTTATGCAATTACGGCCCAGGTAATATAAATGTGCGCAGACAGCCGGCACTCTATGACACGGCAACTAGCCATATTTCTACGAGAATGTCGCTGTGGCAGATGCACGTGTATATAGCGGTAGGGTGAAGCAAAATCAGGGGGAATGGCAGCCACAGTCTAGGTCTTGAGGGGTACAATCATCTTGAATGATTTTCAAACCATCCGGTTTGTATCCCTGACAAGTTTCAACAGGGCCGATGTGAATTGCGGTGAGCCTCGGCCTCCACTGCCTGCACACTACAGCAGTCTTTTCTCGAGAGGGAATACATACTGGGTGTGATGTAGATCATGACGGTCTTGGCCGGAGCGATACATGATGTACATATTCAACGTGACGACTGAGACCAATGTTCCACACTGAACTCGAATTAGCACTCGTCGTAAATTGAGCTCTAACCATATCATCGAGGCCTACAGAAGGATTTGAGACCGTGTTTTAGCCAAGGGGAACCAGTCTCATGCTCTGCCTTGCGCAGCATCTTTCGGTGCCGGCGAAGTGGTGCCGGAGTGGCGCTGTCGCGAAGATATCCGTCTCGAGTTTATATCCAGCCTGGGAATGGTCTTTGCTTACTATATAAGGGGAAGATCGTGACCAGTCTTCTTCAACCTCAATTTTTCTCTTTTCTCCTCTCGTGAAAACCTGTTCTGATTTATTTATACAACTTAAAAATTGAATCTTCGCGTGAATTGATAAGATCTCGTCATGGGCTTCAATAGTTCATACATTCGTTTCTGGGCTGGTTTGGCCATATCACTCTCTTTCAACTCAATTAGCCAGTCTGCGTTCATCCCCTTCATCGATGGGGCAAAGGCTGCGCAACAGGTGACCGTAAAGGATATCTCCACTCTTGATAACGCCAAAGTTGTGAAAGATATCAATGCCGCCTCGGATTCGGAAAAAGGAAAGGTTCTTTTGATGTTTGACATTGATGTGAGCGCTTTCAAGTCCTTCTGATCAATCATCAATGCAGCGATAAGAAAGAAGTCTTGATCATGAATGTTATTGTGTCCATTTGCTACAACAGGGAACCTTGAAATCTCACCTGGATAAATATAAAGAAAAAATCAATCCCTGGGTGCACGATCTCCTCGGCTCTTTGTCCCAAGACCCAAGATTTGCGGTATACTTGAACACTGGGAGGTCAGACGAATCCCTGCGCGCCAGCTACAAAGGAGATGAATTCAAGCAAATGGGGTGGTATGCTGAGCACGGTACACTCTTCAGTGCTCCTGGAGATTCAAAGGCAACAGACTTACGAGACAGAACTCAAAGGCAATGGCTTGGTAGTACAATGGAGCTCATAGAGGGTCAGTTGAGATGCCCAGAAAAACCCTGTCATGCTCAATTCTGACTCCTTCATCTGTAATGATAGACATGCTAGTCAGCAAGTCTGATGGCAAAGGTCAGATACACTTCCTTACTATTCCTTTTTTTATCAATCAACCCATGTCCGATCTACTGATGGCACAGCTTGACTTTTGATTCTTAGAATTATGGCCAGGTAAAGCGTCAAGGGACCAAGCAAAACAGGCCACTATTTCTTTCACCACGAGGCACCCGAACAAAGAATGTATGTGTTTTTGATCAGATCCTTTGATTCTCCGCAAAACTAAATCCTCGCATGAAAACTGCAGTTGACCAATTCTTCGAAGACCTCAAGGAAAAGCTGAAAGAAACATCTGTAGTTACTCAACACAAGGAGACAAAAACCTTGATTGAGGTCACACCAATAGGTATTAACAAAGGAACAGCAGTTGATCATTTGATGAGGCAAAAACAATATGATCTTGCGCTGGCAGCTGGAGATGATGAGCGGGATTTCACAATGCACGAAAGAATTCGACAGAATATGATGGAAGCGAAAAAAAAGGCTTATTCCATCATCATCACACAGGATTCTGAAAAGCCAACCGCGGCAAATTACAAACTTGGACACTTTCATGATTTCGTGCGAGATCTACTAGCAGAATTGTCACCTGGTTACAAGAACTCATATCCATTGAGAAAGTCACCGTCAATGCCGTGGACACAATCTGTTAAACTCAAAAATGAAAATGATGAAATTCATCAAGTAATTCGGTAGCTTTGTCAAACAATTGTCATATTACACAGCCCCTATCATGATCAAAGTTTTGTTTTTGTGTGCCAGAATATTTTTGTTATGTATCAGCAAAATGTCTTTAGGAGTAGCTAAAGTGTTTGTACTTCTATATCACAAGATCATTGATCCAAGTTGATCTGACATTAAATAAATGTAAACTATCCAATTGGGCGGCGGGCACCGCAATGTGAGTGATGGCTGAGTTTCTCAGATATCATCAAAAACACACAAAGTAGGAAAGAAAAACCTCACTACAAGTGATTTTGTATCAATGAATTACACCCTAAACTGCTGGTCACAGTGCTAGCATAATTCATCACTGGTATACACAGGAAGCATCAATTTCATTTCAATTTTCATGTTAATCAATCTTTTGACTTTTGTGTTCTCTCTGCACTTCAAGATGGACTACATGTTTCTATCATTGATGTTTCTGGTGAATGTGGGCTTTAATTGGATCAATTTCAACAATCTCAGAGGTGGCTTGCTTTTGCTACCCTCACCAGCATTCTGAGCTAGTCAACATTTTTTGGAATGTGTATCTGTGCAGTGATCTTGAATAACTTTTCAGATGAGGCACAATAGCACTAACCACTATCCAAAAATTTAAGCAGAAAAGCAAGTGCTTTTGGCTTTCTTATGACTTGATAGCAACACTTTGTTGCCATGACAATTAAGTGAATGACACAAAGCGTTGTTTTTTAGTTAGCATGACACGTATTAACATAAGCACATTCAATGTAATATTCTTTCTAACATCTTGACATCAGCTATTGTGTTCAATAAATCTTTACATACAACAACTGCCTTCTCTCTTTGTTGTTTCTTCTTTATTGAACTTAACAGTAATTTTCTCACAATCTCTTTTCTAGATTGTGATTTCTCTTTTTGAGCATCCATCAGTCTCATCATTAGACTGAAGTCTGATCTCAAACTTTGTCAGATAAATCCCGATACCACAATCTCTTTCAATTGTCACCATCACATTTAGATTGCAGTGAAGTTTGACAAAAAATAGCATATGGATGTCTTAGACTTTTGTATCCTTCACTTTTTCTTTTTGAAGAACCAGGGCTTAGATGGGTCATGTATAGATATTTAACTGAGACCATTTGAAACCACCATTATATTGAGTGTCTGATTATTTCTACAGCATAATGATATCACGTAGGCTCCTCTGGATATGCAACAGTATAACCAATCACTGCATTCCAATATATTTACCACTCCACTGAGTGGTCCTACAGTCAAACCCGCGCAAACACATAGTTTGGGGGGACACCTTTTGCTATGCATTTTGACGGGTTATGCAATTCTGTTGTCAAGTTGGCAGTAAAACCCATCAAGATTCATGACTTTTTCTATGCATTATCACTGGTTATGAACCTGCACAGGTATGCATTTGCGCGGGTTTGACTGTATCACATTCAAAACTCAATCTGAGATTTAAAATCAAAGATGTTAACAAAATATTTGAGATAGAGACCCTCAAAATTTTCCAGTGGATCACAGGGAATTGACAGACTGAACAAGTGAATCTTTTCTCTGAAGTTTGAGTGTGTCATCATGGTCTATTGTCCAGGGAATTCTTCCTTTGTAAGTATCCCTCCTCATCATCTAACATGTCTGGAAATCTCAAAATTGAAAGATACATTTACAACTAGAAATTTAGAATATGATCTGTAATGACTGCACATTTAGTTCAACATCATTCCCTTTGAAAAGTAAATTGCAATCCATTTCCTGACAGTTTGATTTAGAGATTTTACCAACCTTGAATTTCCCTCTTTCTCAAATAATTTCACTCCTCCCTTATCAAGCCTATGATCAAAGTGATTGCTGACTAATATAGCTCTCCTCTTTCATAAATGTACATTCTTGCACCATCAAATCAATTATCAATCCACTACGGACCATTTTCCAACCTTTTGCACCTATATTTTTGCTTTTTTCCTCAAATCTTAACCTTTCAATCTTCTTCTGCACTGCAAACGTTATTCAACTTCCCCAAGTGGGCAGGGAAAAGTGACCGGGAGTATGATTTGTCATAAAATGATCTCTCACTCCACACCTGAGCCATAACACCCACACTAGATATGTGTAGCAGGCTCAGTGAATATGTGGCCCTTTCAGATCAAAAAAAGCATTCAAAAGATTGACTACATACACTAACTCAATGTTTTGGTGTAATCTCTCAACTCAACTGCATGTAACACCCTTTCTGTTACTAAAAAATAGCTTCAACAATATTGCCTGAGCCGCTACAGAATTATATGTAGTGAATTTTTGGCACAATTTTTTCAAAGTCAAAAAAGTTACATATGGTATAACATGTAATTTATTTCTTCTGATGGGCAAGAAACTGAGCAGACCTGTATGTACATGATAGACAACTATTGAATTAGCTTGCTGCACATATGTAGTGTGGGTGAAATGGCTCAGGTGTGCAGTATTAGATTCTTTTATGACAAACTGTACTATTAATCATTTTTCTTTTCCAATTTGGGGAAGTTGAATGATGTTTACAGTCCTTTCATTCCTTTCATATCACATTTAATTCTAATGGATATAAGCTGAATTACTTTCTCTATCAATCTCAACTTTAATAGCAGATCATCAATTGAATCTTACTAATATTATTATTTTTAATATTTTTTGACTTTTTCTTTATTTCTTACTACCCTTATTACATAGTATGATAAATTTGTGAATGATGAGTGATATTTGAACAATTTATAAGAAACTATAAGACATCTGCTGACCATCAAAACAACCAATAAAATATTACTTTGAGTAAAAATATGTCTTTCACCATAAATTTGTAAAAGATTTGCTTATATAAGAGATCCCAATCACCACACGAGGTAATGTGATCTTTATACAGTGCTTCCATGAACCAGTGGTATATTCTAGTGAGTAACCCGTACATCTGGTAGATACTAAATAGTCTAAACCTGGTTTTGGACCAAAAACTGGATATCTCATGTGTCAGGAGCTCTGTGGCACAACCATATCACTTCCTCACATATGTTCAACACCCTCTTGATCAAACTTAACAAAGTCCATTTCTCCATGCAAGTCTTTGAGCAAGGAAATTCCACAACTAATTGTTGCTTTTTGGCATGAGTACTCAAAGCTTTTTGTCTTCTTAAGTTTTTTTTGCCATTTCTTGCTTTCCTCACTGATCACCCCAACCTGGCCCAACTATAAAAGTTGTTTGCCAGTATTTTCTACACACGCACATACCTGTAGATGTTGGAAATTCTGGGTGGTCAATTCTTTCTGTCCATTTGAAGGTTGTTAATATGTAATGCAGCCTGTATGGGGAGCTTTGTACAGGCCTGTTTTGGACTTCAAACCAAAACCCCAAATTTGGTTTCTGCTCACTGAAACAGTGATTCAGGTAATCAAAACTTGAGCAACTTTCTTTTGATGATAGAATTGGTTTGAATCTGCTTGTAATTTCAGGATTGTTGAGAACCACAACTAAGACCATTGAGCCACTTTTTAAAGTGGAAGATTTTCACAGTTGACTATTTTATTTTCATTTGTGACAATTCTGGGCCAGCAACGCAGGTGTTGCGTGTGGCGCTGCACCTGTGTTCTTGTTTTTCTGACTGCACCATAACATAGAATCAAATTCTAGGTTGCGGCCTGGACCGCTGCGCAACAAGCTCTGTTGAATTGATGGTTTTTTTGGGCCGCAACAACATTTGTTGTGTTGCTACCCAATAGAATTTTAATTTGATGTTTTTTGGCGCTGTTGCGCCTATTGCGTTGCGCAACGGTCAAGGCACTGCACAACATGACCTCACCTTTTGTTGTTGCAGAACTTACCGCAACACAGCGTCTAATGCTGGTTTTTGTTATGTGTTGTGGAGCACAACACCAAAAATCATGTGTGTTGCAGCGTGGTGCGTTGCTGGCACAGGGTTGTTTGTGAGTAGATGAATTACCTTGGTCCAAATATGATATTCAGAGAACACTAGTTTTTACAGACAATTTAAAATGAAGGATGGGTGTCAACAAGCTCCTACTGCCTTTCTGATTTAGTGATAAATCTGCAATAATTACCTCCAAATGGTGTACAGCAGAAATACAGTCCCACAGACCTTTACAAGCATGACGTAAGAGCTTGGAAAAAAACTTCAAGATCAAATTCATCAGAGTGATACCACCTTGATTAAGATTGGAACACATGTAGAACATACTGGCAAACAAATTTTGTAGAGGGGCCAGGCTTTGGTGATCAGTGAGGAAAGCCAGAAATTGGAAAAAACTACGTAAGGAGACATAAGTTTTTGAGTACTCATGCCAAAAAGCAATGATTAGTTGTAAGTTACTTGCTCAATGTCTCGCACAGAGCAAGGGATCTTGTTAATTTTACCTCTCAATTGAATACCCAGCAACTTCTCATGGATGACTTCTCAGATAAGTCAAAACAATCATTCTAATCCTCCACCACAGGACCCTGGAGATCCCCTATATGCCTGCCTAATTGGGTATTTAGGAATTGGCTTTTTTTGGTAAGAAGGGTTCACATGCCCTGAGTAGGAATTTCAAACAGTCAGGAAAAAAATCAGCAACGGAGCCTTATTTAACACATAAGAATATGTAAAAAAGTGGGGATTTTCTTTGGTGTTGCTGATACAACTGAGGTAGGAATCCAGGCAATATTGGATGATGTGTATAGATACCAATTCTGATGGCATCAAGTTTGAAGCTGAGGCAGGACATTTTTTTACACATTGTTACGTAAATGCTTATGGAAGAATGTCATATTATGACTGTTGGTGGCCCTTGGCATTGAGATGTCTGAAATTCTGGCAAAGGTTGGCAAGAAGATTGTTTCAATCAACTAAAAATATTTGAAGTTTCCTGAAAGTCCCCAAAACCCCTCAATACTGTTCAATTACAACTCCTTCTGTTTGATCTTGATAGATCTTGATGATACTAGGGCATATCCACTCTATCTTGTGTTA